GCTGGGCAGTATAACTTGAACAGGTCTACAGTAGGCCGCAATTCAATCTTATATAAGAAAGATACTGTATAATCTTGAAGACTCAAGCAGCTTAAAATCACATCTGAGAAATAAAGAACGTTGAAGAGCTCATAATGGAACCTGAAACAGACTGACGACAGAAGAACAAACACCAAGAAACTCGGCAAATATGTTTTCTTCTGAAAAAAAGAGGATTAATGCCGATATCTGCTATTAAAGATTTTTTAAAAAGTAGGAGAATGTCAGAACAACGGTCTTAGAATGGCATCCAAACCAGGTTGAGGTTAATAGGCTTGGGGATCTCTACAATTACAATGCTATTAATTATTTCTGAAAAATTCTGAAGTAGAGAGAAAAGCAATCGACAGATTCTTTAACCCCCCAAAACGGAAAAAACATGACTAATAAAAGTGCAAGACTGTATGTATGTATTTTTATTATTACATATAAATAAACGTAGTAAGAAAGTATATATATTTTTTTATTTTTTGAGGTCTCCAGAACGAATTAATCAAATTCCCATAAAAACCTATGGTAAATCGACAATCGGTTAACGAACAATTCGCATAGCGAACAAAGTCTTGGAACGGATTAGGTTCGTTAACTGATCACCCACTGTAGTCTATACTTAACCTCAGGCGTAAGAGACCCGGCGTCTATTCCATTCTCGCAGAATTTCGCATTCAAACTAGTGATGTAAAAAGGGAGAAATACAATAGAACCTCGATTATCCGCCCCCCGATCAACCGACCCCTCGGTTAACCGACCGTCCTAGTCGGCAAATTTCAAATGTCCGCTAGTGATGTAGCGCTACAATATTTGGCTATGTCTTGGCTACTTTAATATTATTTTTACGTGTTTTAGCTGGCAACACTCATTCGACCATGAAAGGGAGCCAGTATTTAAACGAAGCTTAATTTTCTAATTTTTAACGATACAATAGCGACGATTATTATTTTAAAAAATTTTTGTTAGGCTTAACATCGATGAAAATTCAACGCAAAATAGGTTAATAGCGATATACTAATATACTAATTACATGGGATATAATAATATA